GTGTCTTAATCCTATTGAACTACCCGTTTGATCCTTTTTTTAACCCATAACCCAACTATCTGCCCCATAACCCAATACCCACCCAATTTCCTCTAAAAGGAATTCTTATTAAAACACCCAAATTAACACACCAATTAATAATTTAATACTTAAAACACATATAAATAAATCACAGTTAAAAGAATTTCTTGTTTTGACTCTCGAGTGATATTATTAGTAAATAAGAGGAGCTGCATATATAGTAAAATCAAGCAAGTCCATGCTCCAACTTTTCCATCTCGTCCATGAAAACAGGCATGGCTTCTTGTTGCAGACAAACCAAAACTTTGAAACCATCTTTCTTACCTTAAGTGGCAGAAGAATAAGGCAAGAAAAAACAAGGTTCAACACTCCCAACCAAGTGACGGAGGAAAGACAGTCACAGGGCCACCCCATCCAAAATCAACCGTCTCGTGGCCTACATGCCTCCAATCTGTAAATGCACTCACTCTATTCCTTGATGTGATCCCTTCATCATAATGCAGCTCCTGGAAATCAATGAACGAACGAACATAGTCATATGTGATGATGTCCTTGCTCTTCTTTATCACGTCTACTGCTTTCTAGATAAGTTCATTGATGAGGTCCTTTGCGAGGAGCTGAACGTATATTGGCACACACCCATTGCCCCAGTAACCTGCTGGCAATAGTGGCTTCACTCTTCTTCTGATATTGGTTACATAGGCATACTTCACTGTCTCATCATCTGAGATTTTAGAAGTGTGGTGGATTAATTTTGGTGTGTTAATTTGAGTGTTTTAATTAGGATTCCTTTTAGAGTAAATTGGGTGTGTATTGGGTTATGAGGCGGATAGTTTGGTTATGGGTTAAAAAAAAGGGTCAAACGGGTAGTTCAATAGGATTAAGACACATGTAAGAAATTAGGGGTCCGTTAGTGAGAGGGGTATATGTGTACCTATAATTGGACGACAAGGACTTATGTGGACGCAAAGTATAACGGAGGGCATATACGTACCATTTATTAAAGTTCGGGGGTAAATCCGTCCCTTTTCCCTTAAATGTTTGAACTTCTTTGAATATGTGTTCATCCGAAATGTATTTGAATACCTAATGATATGTATAACTAATTTAAAATACAAAAAATGTTGGTATTGATTTATTATGAATACAACTCTTTGGCATTCTAGTTCAAGTACAAAAATAAAGGCAGTTGTGTAGTATATACCAAAATATAAATACAAATTAGTTGTAGATCGAAATGATATTGAAAAATACAGTTGCGATGAATACATATATAATACATAGAATAAGTTTATTCAAAATAAATTGTATTTATATTTCAATATCCAATTTTGTTATATTATTATTTCACTTTAAATTTGCAGAAAGTATTTTCTAGCTTAGTTTTTATTTCAAATATCATGTTGTATTTCAATATATAAAATACAAACTACTGTTTCCAAAAAAAAAATGAAATTCTTAAGAACAAAGAAAAAAACGCTAGAAAGAAAAATGGCAACATATGCTCTTTCAAAAACGTAACTGATGTTAAATTTTAAATTTTTTTTACCTTTTTTGAAATTTTTTGTTCCATGATTTTCTCTATTCAGTTATTAATTATTTGTATTCTTTCAAATTAATCAAAATAAAATAAATACATGACTCAATCCTTAACAAACTAAAATATTGACATTTTAAATAAATAGTGAAACTATAACTAAGGAGTCCCATTAAAAATTAAAATATTATTGTTTTAAAATTTTTCCCTTTCTTCTTATTTTAAAAGAGTTCAACCCAACTTTAAAAAATGGAAGGTAAAAATTTGACTCCTAATGACAGCACTTCCACACAAAATGGGAAGGGGACTATAATTTTAATTTTTAGCGCCATGTTATGTGCCGGTGAGGGTAAAAATCATTGGGATTTGAAAATTGCAGGCCTTTTATACCGAGAGAAAGATAGAGAGAGGTAAGCAGAAGCAGCATGTGCATAATCACTATTTTCTTCCTTTTTCTCACAGCAACAACAAGAGCTGATGGGTCTTCCAAATGCAAAGCTTGGTTGGTTCAGTCTATTCCCACTGATATGCCCAAACTTGCTCCTGTTGCCGGAGTACTTTCCACCGGTAACTTTACTCACCCAATTTTATTTTATATGATTGTGGTGTGGTGTGGTGTCCGTACCAGATTTCGAGCAGTTGGAAGCATTGAGATTTGAATGTGAGACCTCCGAGCGCCGTCCCTTGGATGCCAAATTAATTTATGTGTTTTCTTAGTTAATTCTTCATAGTTTTTTTTTCTTTTTAAAAGCAGAAAGAAGCCATCAGTAACCAAGGTTCATCCCTAATTTATGTGCAGATATTTGAAAATGGCAACTTTTTGCAAAATCTTCTTCTGTTTTTTATGTTTAGAATAAAGGGAAATGAATTTTTAATCTGATATTGGATGTTCATTGTTTAAGATTGAATCATACTGGAATGTGAGTTTTGATAGTAGCAGACTATAGGTAAATGATGCCAAATGAAAAGAAAGAAAATAAAAGGAGGGGGTGGGGGGCAGCTTGCATTGGGCAATGACTAGTCAGGTTAGAAGCAAAATGCGGAGTGTCCATGTCTTAATATCTGTATAGTGGTGATCTTTTGAGAGAATGGCTTCATATATTCATTTTTGTTCGACTGTGGCAAAGTGAGCAGTCATCTTTTGTTGGAATCTGCTAGCAATGTCACAGTTAACTTCCATTTATGTGTTGCTGGAAAGTCTTAATCTTGAGTTTTCGTTGACCTCCAGGACGTCATAGTTAGTCGAGACCTTGTATACTGAGAGAATTTCTGTTCATAGTTCATTGACTCAAAGCCTCTAATTAGAGCTCAGAAAGACAGATATATGCTTTTATGCTTTCTTCTTCTTTTACTTGAGTTTGATGCACTTGAGCTGAGGGTCTTTCAGAAACAACCTCTCTACCTCCACAAGACAGTGATAAGGTCTACACACACCCTAACCCTCCCTAGAACCCACTTAGTGGGATTTCACTGGGCATGCTGTTGTTGTAAAGTCAGATATATGCTTGTTAATTGTGTTGATTTTTCTTTGTAATTTTGTATCCTAATTTTGCTTTGATGATTACTTCAGCGGATGTTCTTCAGTGGCTGGCTGGAAACTCTTCAAAGAGTTTGGACATAATTGCACAATATTGGCAATTAGTACCACGTCCCACTGATCCTCGTTCAGGGGATTATGGATATTCAAAAGAGGAGTTACAGAGATTTGGTGCTAACGAAGGGTTGAAAGTCTACAAAGCATTAGAAAATGCTGCAAATCGCAAACTTCCAATTAGGTAAGTCTGTAGGTATAGCTTAAGCCTAAACAACAAGGTCATTTGTTATCAAATATCTGCTTCTTGCTGCTATACATTAAACATAAATCATTAATATTACTTTCATAAACATGAAAAAAGGATTTTATGCTGCATCCTTTTTGCTCTAAATCTGGCTCCCCCGAAAAAAGAGATGCAAAACAAAACGAGAAAAAGAACCAAAAAGAGGTGAAATACTCACAAGATGACAAAAGAGTCATTTTTTAAAATAACGGAAGGATTGCAAAAGTGTTCCCATCACTTTCATTTAAATAATCCATTATTAAACTTTGGTTAAACTGATATGCTCATATGCAGTGCTATTTAAATTCAATTGGTGCTTTAGAATGCTGAGTAACTTTCATGTTGAGTGAAGATTAGGTCTTTGGTTGTAAAACACCAATATAAACTCAAGACTTTTTTATCTACTACCTTGCCCTGAGTTACAACTTGCTGTAAGTGCTGGATCGTAAAGATTACATAAATGGCTATCAGATATCTAAGTTTTTCCATTTCGGGCTTGGGCACAGGTTACCTGGATCAACTTGTATGTCTTCATGAATGAATAAAGTTCTAATTCTGTCAATCAGAGTAATTGGCTGGTCTCTTTTCGTGTTTTCCTTTACGAGTCAAGTAGGGAAAGAGATGAAAGACATTATATCCTAGCAAAAATAGGGTTGCAAGAGCCCCCAAGGCCTAGCTCAAGTGGCAAAAGGTGGAGGATTTGTGACTTAGGTCGCAGGTTCAAGCCCCACACCATGCAAAGCAAAGCCTGGTATTTAAGTGGAGAAGGGTAGAGGGGCGGGCCCATTATCCACCGAGTTTAGAAGGCTGTGATTGGTCCAAAGGGCGGGTCACAGACGGATTTCTCGGTTATCAAAAAAAAAATAAAAAATAGGGTTGCAAGAGCATCTCTTTACCCTTTTACACATCACAAGCTGCATCTTACCACTAGAACACCCTGGGCATTGGTCTAGTGGTAAGATGCAGTTTGCGATGTGTGGTTAGGCGCACGTCACAAGTTTGAACCAATCTGCAAACAAAGATGGGTGTTTAAGTAGGAAAGGGTAGAGGAGTGGGTCTATTATCCACCGAGTTTTGAATGGTGCGCTAACTGGCCCTCGGGATTTCTCGGTTATAAAAAAAGTCAAAATTGTATAGGGGAAGGCTGAAAATGAAACATCAGCTGTAGATTTTTTTCTAAGGAAGCTCTTATTTGGCTTTACGTAGATGTCAAGATTATTCTAGCTTTCAATATTCGTAGTTGACCTAAAAATAGAAATATTTATGTTCTTTATATGCTTTAACTTCTTTTATGCATGCTTCAGCCACCAAAGGAACACATGAGGTGTTTGCTTGGCTTGTATGTGCATATGGTGATTTCTCCAGTTCCCTTGGAACTAATCATAGTTCAGACTTTTACAGCATTCTGGAGTTTCTCCCGATTACACGGAAGAACCATCCAACTTAGCTTCAGGGAGGCCAAATGTAAAGAATGTTACATTGCTTCTTAGCGACTGGTGGGGATCAGGTGTAGTTCATGCTAAAGTTTGGATCTCAGACAGTAGAGATGTTTATATTGGGTCTGCAAACAATGACTGGAAATCTCTTACTCAGGTATAACTTTGGTCCAAATTAATAAGCATAATTTTCACCCAGTGCTACTGACCTTTTTGCATATTTGCGAACAGCAAAAGAAAGAGTTTTTGATTCTGCAACATTTTATCTTCCCTTCCTAAGTGGACAGCATATGCCATAACTGAATTCCAGTACATTGCGTTCATATTTATTGTTTTGCTTCTTGGTTTATGAAACTATCCTGGTTCTCCATTTTATTCAGGTGAAAGAAGTGGGAATATATCTCACTGGTTGCTCAGAAATAGCAGAAAAGGTTGAAATCTACTATAACAATCTTTGGAAACTTTCCCACCTTAATGTTTCAGCTTACACAAGATCAGTTTGGGATCAGCAATGGCAGATTAATCGCAAGGTTCCATGTTGGTCCCATTTTACAAATCCTAAAGAAAGGTGCAGGTATGTGAAAATAAAGATGCAGACACTCTTCCAAGTAACTGGCTGTTTCCTTATTTCTCCACATCTTGCAGCAGCTTTATAAGAGTGGGGAATTATTTTATATTTTCTTGCACATAATAATTGCATAAAGAAGCAACAAAGGAGAATGAAAAAATAGAAGTCATATTGGTGTGCAAAGGTCTATGCTTTGGGGTATTCCTACTTCTACAGGTTGAAAAATCGATGCCTTTATGCAATGAAAGTACAGATAACCAAACCAAATTCTGAAGTCTGCAAAAATTTGTTTGGGGAGCTGCTAAATACCTTGTTATAGTTTTGCCCATACCTCTCTGCTGAAACCCCTCCTTGCTGATGTATTCAGAAGAGAGATAGGATTGCACTCGAAACATCAGGTGTTCGAGTTTGCAAAATAAGCTCAGGATTGACTTTAACGTGATCAAATTTCCTTACTAAGAAAATGAATTGGTAGGAAACTTCCTGCCCCAGGCCTTACTGTTATTAATAGGCCATTATGTTGTGTCTCGACAGATCACCACTTCCCAAATACGTGGAAATTGCTCATGTCTCTGGCTACCCTGTATTGTCAGACCCAAACATGTCACACATTTCCATAGAAACACCTGGAGTCAATGATTCATCTTCCGATCCTCAACCCAACTATCTTTCATTTGCTCCTCCAGAGGTATGTGGTCACTACAACCTTTTACTAGCAACTATCTTCGTTTTCATCTGTTCTCATATGACATTTATCTCTTGGGGTTTTGTTTTTCATTTTTCCTTTTCATATTTTTTTCTTTTCCTATGTACACTCTGGGAAGTCAGTGAGTATATACATCCCATCATGTTTATATAACCCTTTAATCATGTAGCGAACTGTCCAGAAATGACTGATCCAAATTCTTGAGCAAATTAGATTTTCTTGGAATGCCTGCAAATGTGGATACACTAATTTCATTAGACTGAAGCAGAAGTTAAATACTACCCTTTTTTTTTATCTAGATCTCATATAAATAGTTTTTTTTACTCTTTCATGGACACTGTTAAATAAAATCTATAATCTCCACTTAATCTAGATATCCTCAAGTCAACTGCTAAATGTGCCTTAACTGCTAAAAAGAATTAATCATTACAATCATGTCCTTTGTAAATATTATACTTAGGCAGTCCCATATTGCAGCTCTTGTTTGGTCAGTACCAAACAGATGAACAGGCTTGGGTGGACACCATTAAATCAGTAGGAAAAGGAGGAACAGTCAGAATTAACACCATGGATTGGCTTGGTCAGTCAGGATACACAAAAGAAACAGTTTATTGGCCATCACTTTCTTCAGCTATTTCAGAGGTAACTTGTGCTTCTATCTTTTGCATGTTATTCTATATCCAGCCTATAGACATATTATTCTTTTATGTGACTCGCTTTCCTTTTAAGTTTGTTCCAAAAAGAATGACACTTCTAAATTTAGGAACATTAACTTTACAACTTCTCATTTTACCCTTACTGAGAATCTTTTACAACCACACAATGGTATGACATGTTTAAGGCCACAGGTTTCAAAGATTATATAGCCATACAAATGCTATGCATGTTTTAGACCTCAAGTTTCAAAAGTCCTCATTTATTTCTTAAACTCTATGACGATTCAAGCTATGCCACATATATTCAAACATAGGGAGTATCTGTTTTGACCTCTGATTGAAGTTCTCATACTGTTTGCTTAGTGTATTTGACAGCATGGTTCCTCTGTAGTTTTAAAATGGATTTAGGTGAAACTTTAGAATTAGGTATTTCTTGATACCTGATTAGTACTAGTGCCGATACAGCTCAAATGAATGATGCACTTTTTCCCTTGAAACCTAAAAGCAATATCCACTGAGAAGTTACTCCTCTAATGTGTGCTGTTTGAATCTAATAAAACAGAGCATCCTCTTTTACTGATGAACTATATGTTCTCCTAATATGATGAGGCTCTGCTCATTTAGTTTAAACTGAATCTGATGCCAAAACTATCCTGTTGCCTACTTGAAATTTCTCAAAATGATGTATTCTTTGGTAGAAGAGAAAAAATATATTGTTCTAAGTACAGACCTAGGTATTTAACCTAGGCCCTTGACGATCACTCCGTCTATCAACCAACTCAAACTTGAGGAGCCAGGATAACTGGAATTGGTAGTTGTGCTTGAGTTTGCCGGTTTGTTGAAGAACACTTGACAAACTATACATTGGTAAGCTGAATACAAAAAGAATTCTGTCAAAAGAGTAAGAAGTAAATGCCTCCACTCAATTCTTAGGAAAAGACGGATCCTACTACTAGGCAAGGGGGTGTACACCAACTTATTTGGCTAATCCAGTTCTTTGCATTCTGCCGTTTCCAGCTTTGTCATGAATTGTTGCTTGGATGCTGTTAGGCGGCAGTCATGGTAGCTGTTTCATCATTATGAAAATTCTTGGTAGAATTTCTCCAGGATTGTTTCTGCTTATTAATTATTCTTTTTCCTTTTTGTACTGCATAAATCTGCTAGTTTGTTCATAATTTCTCCTTACCTATTTTGGTTTACAAAATACTTATGGTGCAATATCAGGTTAAAGTATGGTAGTAAATATATTATTGCCAAGTTTGCAATCAAATATTATGATAAACCATGTAAAAACTCATTTTGTGGAAGCTGATCTCAATTTTCTCATGTTTCTTAGTGAATGTTGCTTGTCATAGTATGGTCTTCTTCTTCTTCTTTTTATTTGATTGTTAAAAAAGGTAGTGGTAATTGGTATGCATAGTATGGTCTTTTTTATATGCTTTTGACTTCTGAGAATACTTAAGTTCTTGTTTATGCTCAAGGAGTGTTTAACGAATAAAAGGAGCGGTAATGTGCAAAAGACAAATTACTTCAACATGAGTCTCTTAAAAAAGAATAGTTTAGAAAGGAGCTGCGGAAAAGTATACATAGGAATTGTTAAAACTGCAGCTTACTCAACTAGATAGTTTATGTTCCTTTGTTGCAACATAGTGGAAGGATATGGGAGAAACTGGGTATGAGCTGGAGATTAGCTAGCTTTCTTGCTTTATATACTACTGTCCATTAAATGGTTTCAATAGTAAAAAGCATCCTGTAGCCCCATTTCAGTCTACAACAATGGTAAAGGTTAATATATAGACCATTATTTTTTATTTTTGAAAAGAATAATATACCATTATTGAGGCCCCCAAAACTTTGGTCAAGTGGTAAGAGCACAACACGTGATATGCTGGTTAGGCATACTGCATACACCATAGGTTCAAACCCTGCCGCAGATAAATTTATGACTTTATTGGAAGTTTTCTAACTACTGACCAAAGTTCAAAATTTATAGTAGGTTGCCTAAAAGGAATTAATTTTAAACATTTAAATACAACCCTCTTTTGGTGTTTCTTGTCGCACTTTAAAAGATTTATTTGTAATTGTTGCATTGATTACCCATTGCATGCATGTTTTCGTAGAATTATAATTGTTTTAACGGATCTATAAAATTTACATGTGAAACTACTATATATAAAAGATGACGTCAAATATACGCAATACCAATTCCCTGATCTAGAATAATCACTATATCTCAGGATAGCATGTGTTTATCCTTGATTAGAGCAACCTTGAGATCTTTTCATAGATTCAAGCTTTACCCTCATCCCGCGTGTGAAATTAGGTGTACTTTAATTTTTTTCTATTATTTCCTAATGCAGGTTGTCTTCTCCAAGGGCGCAAAGGTTCAAATACTGGTCGCAAAGTGGGCTCATTTTATAAACAATACAGATCAGTATCTGAAGTCCCTGCTTTACTCCAACACCCTATGCTCTTCTTCAAAGTACAACCACTGTTCTGGTAAAGTTGAGATCAAGTATTACATTGTTCCAGGATACAATTCAACTGGACCTGCAGCACTTAATGGTGCTGCCACTGGGAATATGTATCCTGGCTATACGCGGGTTAATCATGGTAAATATGCAGTTAGTGATGTGCGTGCACACATAAGCACCAGCAACCTGGTGTGGGACTACTTTTATACCACAGCAGGTGTTAGCTTTGGGACATACCAACCAGCCATTGTTTCACAACTTCAAGAAATCTTCAATGCTGACTGGACTTCGCCATATGCAGTGCCAGTCGAACCTTTGGATGAAGGTCATGCTTGTTCAAGCCGATGAAAAAGGAAAAAACAAGATTGCCCCACTGTTCTTCTCAGAACCCAAAAGACATAAGAGAATGATTAAAGGTCTTAAAGCTTTTACTTCTCTTTTTCTTGGTAGAATTCTGCTACTTTTAGAGTTTAGGTCCTTATCATTCATTTCAGTGGACATTTCTTGCACAATGCCTTTGACAATTCGTTCATCAAATAAATTTGGTTATGTAATGCAGTACGCAACTTACCAGATTTGTCTTCCATCAAAAATCAAATTTTAATCTAAAAAATGCAACCAAAATGAGATGTCACGTGTGGAATTACTAGTAAGTATGTTGAAATATGCAATCACTTTATGTCCCATGTGCTTCAGGAAATAAAATAAAATTCTATGGTTCATTGAGCCATCTCATCCCAATAGCACAAGTTTAAAGCTCAATATGAAATCTTATTTCTTGCCAGACCCGTTCAGATATGGGAAAACTCTAGAGATTTGCTTCGAAATAAGATCCTCGTGTTGACCCTTATTAGGTTTTCCTTCACGGGAATTAACAAAACAATTTTCTACTCCAACCAAAAAAGGTTATGTTTTATTCTGCTATACTAGCAATAAGATTTTCCATAAAAATACTGTTAGGTGCAACCTGAGACAAGTCAATAGGCAAGATGACGCTATTTACAAAATGTAATCAAGTATAATGATTCTCATTCTATAACTAGTTTTGCCATAAAGTTGCTCCCTTTTTGCCTTTTGCTCAAAGGCCAGGAGGTTTGAGAAGTGAAGGAACACAGCTGAATATGCCATCCAAATCCACAGGAACATTGATAGCTCGAGTAACAATTTCCGGCATCTCTGCTTTTCCCTTCCATGTGTTGAACCATGGCCCTCCCCCAACTTCTAGACCTGCCATATTGCTTGTAACATCCAAAATAACCTACAAACATCAATAGTATCAATTAACTAAAAGAAGCAATTGATGCAATGCAGTATAAAACAGGGAGTACTGTAAATTCCGGTGTTAGTAATATAAGGCAGCTTTGTATGATACAGAGTTATATATGGAGATCAGGTTTTCTTATTCCTAAAATCAAATGACACCTAAAAAGTCCTCCGAGTTCAAATTCCAAGTGTGACATTCTTGCATCACCTTATGAGTACATGTATCTCCACTTTAACGTCCAGAAATGATAAGTACGCCCCAAAAATAAATATTTACCTCTCCTTTACTCCCATTACTCTTCCGTTCCCACAACTGCAGTCTTAGCTCACCGAAACAAGTGTCTCTACACGCAGGAGCGAGTCCCATCTCTTCTGTAGGAGCCCGCAATGTGGTTCCAGGATCTTCTGTTGTTGCTTCTAGTAATACCTGTTCAAATTGGATATCCAAATTAGATAGCTAATGAATCAATCACAAATGCGACTAAATCAGCTTCCAGCTAATCAACAAAATTCAGGGTTTTTGGGAATTGATTAGGGCATTAATTTCCATCTGGTAAAGGCTATCCAATAAGCTAAGCTTGGCTTCAGCATTAATGCAAGACATTGACGAAGGAGTTATATTCTCGAAATGCAAACTTACCATATGTGTCTCATTCTCCGCAGATATATGCCATTTACCCCAGGGAGTGATTTCCCAACTAACACTAGCATTCCATGGAACAAATTCATAGAAGATACCTCCATAGTGAATTCCTATCTGCAAGATTTGTTAAGCATAAGGATTAATAAAGCTAGTAAAATAACACAGTAAAGTAGAAGCTTCAATATACAGTACAAAAACACTCTCTTTCGTCATTTGAATGCATGAGCGCTCAAATCAAGTTCAACAAAACTGGTAACCAACGAAGAAAGAAGGGGGGAAAAGTAGATTCTAGAAAATTAAGCTAGAGATAAGTACCAGAGCAACACTTTCAAAAGTCTCATTCAATCCCGGAAGTCGCCTTAATCCACCACCAGCAGTCAAAGCAACATCTCCAATTGCACCTTCAAATACACTGCACTGGACCTGTAATTGAAAAGATCGGGTGCAAATTGAGAAAGGAAAATAATGACTTCTTGTATTTTTGCCATTAAACGTGTCATATATGACCAGTTTGACAAACTACTGATTGTTTTCTTTTCTTCCTTTCACCAGCATATTTGTCTGTTATGCGCACCGACTTATTTTATTTTTTTTCCCTTCTGAAGTTTCTGGAGAATATAGGTAAGTCTCCACATTGGCTAATTGAATAGCAAATAGTTCATTTATTCTTCCATTCTTCAGAAGTTTGCCTCACAGAAATCTCATGGAGACTATAACCTGAACGGCAAATATCAGATCCCTAAACTAGTGATCCCAATTCCCAAAGGCAGGACAGCAGACAAGATATATATAATGGTCGACAATCCTAAGACAAAGTTGGATACATATAAGGAGCTGCAAATAATTGAAAATATTCTGCAAAGTGAGATGTCAAGGAGGCAGGAGGTACCCAAAACCACTTTCTTGGGAAGGAACCACCCCAGTTCTTTTCGGAGTAAGAAGGGGCATTTTGAAACTCAAACCGCTGACCATCCCACTCTATCCAGCCTGGCAGAAGAAATTGATGATTAGGTTCTCCTTTTTGTTCCTTTTTTATGATTTATCAAACACATAAAACATTGCACTCAACTTTTCAGCTGATGAATATCTGCAGTTTAGCTCAAATACTGAAGAACATGAAATGCAAATCTGATTTCTAAGGAATAGTACAACATACCAATCTTTTCTATTTTCTTTATTTTATACAGGCCAAGTACCAATCCTAAAGTTCTGCGACTCTCTTAGGGTCTAAGATGTTTTTCAAAAGAAAGTGTAATTTTCAGCCAGCTAGTAATGTTGTTCAACATGCATAGTTAAGAATCATCTCTTTCATCGCAAAATAAAAAGATATCACTATAACTAAGAAACACCTATTAGGCTTATCTATCACTGGAAATGGTCAAATGACCAATCAGATTACATAATAGCATATTATCACATGGTTGTCGAGATCACAATCCAGATCAAAAGATCATAAAGATCCAAGTTATGGTATTAAACCTGTTAACATGGTAAAATTGAAAAATTGGAAGACTTAAAGGAGGGTGTAAAGTGGTGTATAGAATCATATATTTCCAAACTGGGCGAAGAGATCAAACTAAAAGAGCTATTGAGTTTAGATTAATGAAGAGCTTCCAACTCATACAACAGAGAACTCCATGAATGAAATATGAGAAGAGAAAAGTGCTCGAAAAACCAAACCAAAACTGAAAAGCTGGGAAAAGAGTTAGATATTACCTGTTGAAAGTCCAGCTGCCATGCAAACTTGCCAATGTGGCTCAAATACTGGAAAAGCAGCAGGCCATCCTGCCGTGGACTTCTGCTTTGAGTTAACATCGCCCCATCCATAAATGGGCCGTGTGCTATACTCCCAGCTAGCAGTTTTCACAATTTCAGTATAATCTGTCCTGTCAAGTAAAGTTATGCCAATTGATCAACACCTATGTTTCTCACATGATAAACGTATAGGGGGGAAAATACAAATATAATTTTCTCTTCCCTAACTTTGAGCATAAAGTATCTGAGGCTCAATCAACCCTGATTACGAGATAAGAGGGACCAAATATTATTCATGAACTGGTTGACAGCATCACATATGGGAGAAGGGACCAGAGACTGTTCTTAAAGAATGGGTAAGGAGATCAGCAAGGTTCAGAAAACTTGTCAACGCTTAAAAAAGAGAAATTTGCTTGAAAAGAGAGACAATAGAAATTGTTTACAGTAACAACCCTAGCTAATACCATGGTAGCATACAATTGAAGAGAGGCAATAAAACCTTCCCCAAACACTTTATACCAAGTCAATTTCCCAACTCTATCCCGCAATCATGCACCAGAAGAGAAGAACCAAGAGGAGTGGGGACAGATATTATGCATTTTAATACCGTTTCTTTCTGCTTCTACCTGGAGATGAAGAAATCACATAAGAGACTCACTTTCAAGTTTTACTTCAACAGACAGTCATAACTTTTTCACCTTTCTGGTGTTTTTTTCCTAAAAAGAGAACTGATTGAGATGCAGCTATAAGATAAAACGATTGGTTCTCTAAAGGTGGGGTAAATTCCATTTCTTAAAGTTCACTGGTGACGACTGTAATGAGAATTCCATTCTGGTCCATTCAGATGTAAAACAAGATCCTTGCTTTGTGCTACAGTATTTGTTACAACCTTGATATGCTTGTGATTGAATGTTAAATACAGACCCTGGGATTGTTAAATCCAGCACCATATCCTTTCCCCCCTTCCTCGAACGAGGGTAACTAAAAGGAGAAAAAGTAAATCAAACTCATTACATCATGTTGACTTAAGTACCCTAGGATGGGAACCCATCATGGGACGAAGAAATACTAATACTCTAAGAACATCACAACAATTTGAAGCAAAAAACTGCTGCTGAACTTGATTTCTTCTACACTATGTTTCAAGTGAATATGCATTTTGGAAACAATACAAGAAGTTCTCAATGAAATAACTACCTCCCGTCATCTCGAATAGATCCTTGATGCCAAAGTGGGGTGACTTGAAAACCCTCTGTGACGCGGTGATTGAACTCCTGTATAAGCCATTAGAAAGACAAACAGTCAATCATAGGGCATACTGGGGATGTGAATGATAGAGTTGAGAAATACTTAATGTCCCATATTTGTTCTTATAGGAAATGTCACCAGTCATGAATAACCAAATGATTCTTCTAGATATTTCACCAATGATAGCTGAAGTTAATACTTCGTATGCCTTGGGAGTTTGGCGCATTGCTACTTGTTTGGGTAGTTTATTCTACAAGCTATGCTTGAAAAGAATGCCTCAAGTTTTTATTCATTTAGGGTGAGTTTGGTATGACGGAAAATGTTCTTTTTGGGAAATTAAGTGGGTTTCTTACTTATTTTCTAGTGTTCGGTAAGTAAGCAAGAAAATATTGTCCTAAGAGCATTTATATGTGATAGCAAAACACTATGGAAGTGGGATGCAATGGGAAGTAAGGGTTCAAGGGTGGGATAGTCAAATGGTTGGGGGGATTGGGTGGGTGAAGAGGAAAGTTAGAATTAAATAGTTGCTAAAAAGGGAAAGGGTAATTCTTTTTGGAATGGAGTAAAAGGAATGTAGGTCAAACAAATTGAAACCGAGGGAGTAGCTATTAGCACAACCATGTCAAGATCTTTAAGTTTTGTAGGGAAGAAATCTATAATAATAGTTTACTCAAATTAAATAGAACTGTAGAGGCTAGCTTCAAGTAACTCCTACAAACGCTTTGCCAATTATATAAAAGTGCAACATCATTGGTGTTTAGCTGAATAAATTACTCAATGGTTAATGCAATCATGTGATTATTTAAGTAAGCTCAGGTAAATGCAGTATCAATGTCCAAACTGTAATGTCATGAAAATGATCTCTAAAAATATATTACTTATGAAGAATAAAAGTTTAACAGAGGACAGACAATGAAAAGTACAGACCTGAGGGCGAACTTCCTTATTTGGGGGTTTAGCACTATTTTGGGCAACAAAGGTGTTACCAAGCATCAGTTCATGCCTACCTGATCATGAGATATTGGTATTTGTTAGTACACTAGGAAAAATTTTAAATGGACAGAATAAATTGCTACATACGGAGTGTTATCGCAAGCGAAAAATGCAAAAGGCTCTAAGGTCCTTTGGGGATTTAAGTGCAAAGCGCAAATAACGTTCGGCTTTAATGAAAAAAGGCGCAAATGGAAAAAGGCTACAAATATGTATGACCAGTCCAAGATTAATGATCGTATGCATGAAAAACAAACAATTGTGACACTGACACCTCAGGTGTTTACGGTTGTCCTTTTTCTGGTATAGAAGGCTTGCAAGCCTAAATTTGCGAGTTTTATTGAAATCATGTTCGTATTCGAGAACATCGGTTTTACATTAAAATTTTAAAATATATTTTTAGTTTCTTCTTAAGATGCCTCAAATATTTATGGAAGATTCTTTAGTTATGATATAATTGTGTATGTGTTTATTTTATAGGAGTTTTATTATTTATTAGTATTTTATCAGAGATAGTAAGTCTAGTTATGTCAAAAATTATTGCTATATGAGGTAAGCTTTATTCAAAATATTTTTTCATTAAATGTGATACATTCAAAAAGGTTATATGTATTTTACCACGAACCTATGCAATACCCGAATATCTACGGAATGAAATAAAATAGAGTAGAGGTTTTCACCTCCACTTCCACGTGGAAGTGGAGGGAAAGTACAAGAAGGATGTACACCTATTTATTACAAATGATGGAACATTTATTTTGCAGATCATTGATTTTGTAAAGCTAGTAAAGATCATGATCAATTGTGGTGGAAAAAATATCCTATATCTAGTTAAATTCTCACCGCCCACTTCTAGTTATATATATATATGAGAATTTCAGCCAACGCATCTTCTTCTTAAGATATAGTAGGAAAATGATTCTGCAACTATTTGCTCACGCTAAGGGAAGGAAAAAGTTCTTTTTGAAGTAGTATAGTATATCGAGAGGAGAAGAAAGAATAAATTGACTATCTACCTCAAGTTATTTGATCTCGATTCAAAGTATGTTAAGGCAAAGCTCTCTTTGGGGAGTGACATATACCAACAAGGAAATTGAAGAAAAAAATAAAAAATAAATAATAAATAAATATATATATATATATGATAAGAGTGAAATTGTTTAGTGTCACATTTTTATAACTGCACTCATTGGCAGTGAAAAGTATGCCTTAGAGCCTTGATTGAAGTTCCCATTAAGTGCGTCTTTGACAACACTGTTAACATACGTGGAAAAGATACTAGTCTAACACTGACAAGTCATGATTCTTGGTCGATATAAAAAAAAAACATGTATGCTATGTTGAAAAGTAATCCTCTTCTTAAAATGATTGACAAGAAGAGAATAAGTGAGAGCATTCATGAGTAAAGAAAGTCATTGGAGTTTGCATCATCATGGTCTTAGCAATACTCTGGAGGTGGTCACGAGGAGAAAACTCCTTATATGGCTGATTTAAATGACAAGGCTCTGAATAACTTTAGAGGCAATTCAAAAAGGAAAACAAAAACCTTCTCCTAAAAAGGATAGGAATAGCTTTCACTTAGAGAATCACAACTAAGCATGCAAAGAGCTCAATCATCTACTTCAATAGACGGGCTTTAATACGACTAACAAAGATAGACATTGCTAGATCAAAATAACAAGATTCAATAGAAAAGGAAAAAAACATACTTCCCCAGAAGTTTGAAGACTCTTCACTATATTGACAAATGTACTTGTCATCTGCACCAAGAATTTGAGCTCCCACACCAGTAAACCGAGGACCATATTGCAGCTCCTCAAAGCTGCTTAATTTCTTGGTAAATGAAGGACTCTCTACAGAATACATGAAGCAGAAACTCTGTCTGCACTCTGGAATTGATACCTTAAAGAACCAACCTTCAAAGAATTTCCTGGTACTTCCATCAAAATGATACCTAAGGTATCAAAATAAAGTAAGCTATCACAAATGGATTCCTTCGGCTTCTACATTGCATTCTAGATAACAAAAAGAAAATTCTAACTCCAAATCACTTCACCTCTCCAATTTTTCAACAGATACTGCATGGGGTGTGTTCGGTATGGAGGAAATGGAAAATGTTTTCCAATTTTTCTATGTTCAGTTGGTCAAAATATTTGGTAAATATTTTCTTTTAGAAAATATAGTTCCTTAAAAATGAGGAAAATTACTTTCTTAATGGCAGTAAGAAAAAACAAATTCTACCAGTGACATTCTACATTGATGTTTCCTCCCTATACTCCAACACATCTCATCTTCACCCCACCCCCGTAGACACCATCCCCACCTCTCATAATAATAAGTTCCTTAAAAATAAGGAAAATTACTTCCTTAATGGAAGTAGGAAAAATAAATTCTACAAGTGACATTCTACATTGATTGCTTCCTCCCTATACTCCAACACACCACATCTTCACCTTACCCCCTAGACACCACCCCCACCACCCAATCCCACCTCTCAGATTATTAGTCTTGATTATATACAAATGAAATGATATTTTTTGTAACATACAGAACACAAGAAAATAAGCAAGAAACCATTTATTTACCTAAAAGATAACAGTTCCTTGACATACCCATATTTTCAATTCTTCCCAACAACTTCCTCCCTCACTTTTCAATTAAAAACCAAGCACACAAATTCGACGGGTTCTTAAAAATCAAATCTTTTTCTGAGAAAATTACTGTTACATTTGAATTCCATTCAACTAAATCATCAATTAAAGGAAATGGATTAGAAGTTTTCTTACCCGCTATGAGGAGTTCGAAGAGGACGATTAGAAGGCGTAGAAGAGTAAAGCGGTTTCACAGGCTCCCTGTTTTCCTTCTTTGTGGTGTCAACAGATGAATCAGCTTTGACTACAAATGCATGTCTTGATTTTTGAGACTGCACCTTCAGGATAGTAGATGAATAATTATTCAAAAAAAGTTCCCCATTTGCAATTGAAGTTGCAAATTCGGTCCTAATCCTAGAAAATCCAACATTTTTCGAAATTGGAGAAATGGCGGAAACACTATAAAAGCTCTCCATGGTTGATTTTGGATCAAAGGTGGGATTTGTAGAGTTTTTGAGGTGAAATCAGAGCGGCAACTGTCTGCCTCTGCCACAGTATAATACTCCCCCTGTTATATACGCAAACAAAAATATTTTAACACATAATTTTAATTACACTCTTTTTCTAATATCATAACTATAATTTTATAACTAGTTTAATTTTGCAATATAAATTATAAACATTTAAGGACACATTCCTTTTCACTAAAGGAAAGTACAAAAATAGAAAAAAAATTAAATATCTATTTTGAACTTAGACTAATTTAATTAATTGAAATGAATAAAAATGTCATCCCTTTATAATTTGACTCAAAAATGTCCTTTCCGTAATATTTTGGTTTAAAAATGCCCTTAAACTATGTGAAATGAACAAAACTGCCGTTAATACTTTGGTCCAAAAAGGCCCTTATTGTTATTTAATGAGTCAAAATGCTCATTTTTCAAATAAATATATTATTATTTTCTTTTCAACACATTCTTTTTCTAATAATGTTTTTTTTAATTAGCAAATGTTTATCTTACTTCAATTCAGAAAAAAATAAAAAATGAAAATATTTCTTGTTTTTATTATCATTATTTTTTTATCGTTATATAAATATAAATTAATGATAGATATACTATGATCTTATATATGTGACATATATTATCTGTCGAAAAGATACATGAAGTTATTCTATTTTAATTGATAAAATGAGATTAAGAAGAAAAAAACAATTCCTACATTTTTATTTGTTAAAGTGATTTTAGAAGAAAGAAAACAAGAATAATGTTCTTTAATAATATTTTAACTAGGATGAAGATGTGTTTAAAAAGTAAAAATATATATATATATATATTCGAAAAGGGGCATTTTTGACCCATTTTGTAACTATAGGGGCATTTTTGGATCAAAATATTGATTGCAAGCATTTTTGAGCCAAAGTATTGACTGTAAGGACATTTTTGAACCAAACTATAAACAGAAGACGTTTTTGTTCCTTTTACATAGTTTAAGTATATTTTTGATCATTTTCCCTCTTATTTTTACACTTTCGAGAAGCGACTCGAACCTAGAAAAGTTGGAGATGGAAGATGACTTATCAATTTTTTATTTTTACTAACTGAATCTAAATAATAATTTTCATATTATTTGCTTTATTTTTATATATTATTTATTTTATTTCAAATTTTTTGTTTGGTCATAAAAATATCAAATGTAAAAAAGGCATTTTTACTTTTTACTATTATTTTATTTTAAAATATTATTTTAACTTTTTATTTTTATAAAAAATACCCTATTTATTTTTTCCACCAATTAAATTAAAGAATAATTGATCGAAAAATGTATACTCGACGAGAAAAATTATTTACTCAATGTTGGAGAATTTTATTAAAGAATAGTTATTTATTAGTGTTATTTAATTTATGTATTAATGAATAGATTTATTAACAAATGATTTTACTTCTTAGACTTTGTATCTTGATGAAAATTTTGTTCCAAGCTTGTTTCAATAGCGAAAATCATAGTTTATTGGCGATGTTATGGGAGACGAAAACTTAGCTCCATGTGATTTCTTTCTATGTTCAATAGTAATGTTATTTACTTTTTGTATTATAGTAGAATTAAAAAAGTTAAGTTGAGTTATTTTGCTAGATTTTAAAAAATTGAAAGAAATCTTAAATCATTTTATTGAAAAAATACATCCAAACTCTTAAAAAGAAATCTAAATACTACGGTCAAACATAATATGGACTCCAACTTAAAAGTTTTAAATAAAGTGAAATAGTTTCTTCTTTTTTTAATGGTTAAGCGTCAAACTTAAAATTGAAGTGAGAGGTAGCTGGTCTATTTTACTAAATTGAAATCAAATAGTGATTCGAACCTATAATCTTAAGATTTAAACGGAAATTGACTTGCTGATTTTTAATTTTATTAAATTTAAATAGTAACTCAAATTCATAATTTTAACATTGAAGATGGAGGATAAGTCATCTATTTTTTATTTGCACTAAATCGAATTCGAATGTACAGTTTGCAACCAGCTCTACATGAAATGTGAAAAATGTATCCTCTTGAAATCACTTGTTATTTGACTATGCCAATTTTATTAGTTTTAAGATCATAAAATTTAAGTTATATACTCATATTAATAGTTTAAATTCCCTTTTAGTATTTAACATATTAATCAAGTACTATTATATTTTTATCAGATGATTAATTAATTATTTATTAAAAATTATTCATGATTATTTAATTAGTTATAACCTAAATTGGTTTATACTTTATATAATAAAGTATTTTTATGTCTAAAACAGTGGAAGAAAAATATTAGTGTTTCTATTATTAAAAAAAATAAATTGAGACATTTCTATGCTTACTCTTGCTGTCTTGCATGAGTTGGAAACCTCCTTCACCTACTGCACTATTGAGGTATTTCAATTAGATATTATTTTTTAAAAAATATAATTTATATGTATAGATATTATATTTTTTTATTTTAGTTCGTTAAAAAAAATGACACATTCTTAAATTGTAAACAATCAAATTTAACACTTTTTATTTTATTATTAATGAAAAAAATTTATAAATTAAAAACCACATCAATATTATGACATTTAAGAACACAAATTTTTAAAAATTATGTACTAAATTTGAATTGACTTTACCCCTAAAAGAAAAAATCAAAGAACATTTTTTTTAAGAAATCATTCGATTTATAGGATAAAAGATAATAATTTCGAATAAAAATAAAATATAAGAGCCTAAAAAATAAAGACTTGATATTTTAGCTCGCATATTTTAGCTTTCCAACAAAAAATGAAACTACTATTAGTTAAGACCACGTGAAACTAAGTGTAAATTAAATATTATAGCCCTATCCTCTATGGGTGGGCTACATTTTTTAAAATTAAAAAAAATCAAATTTCATAGGTAGAATATATAAACGAATTAGGTTAGATATTTTATTTAAATATTTTAAACTTCATCTTTTTTTCATTTGAACAAATCTAACACGACTCTCAAGTCTCATTGTGCCATTTAGATACATTTCGTATTTCACATCTTCTAAATGAGGGTGACAGTGTCTATAAATTGTTATTAATTTGGATTTTCTCTATTATTAAGTGTTAATAAAGGCAAAATATGTCTTTTTCCGAAATGAAGATTTTTTTTTTCTCTTTCTCCTTGTCTTTTCATCTCCGTCACGATCATCATCATCATTATAACTAGGGGCATAGCTACTCAGGGTGTCTAACTGGACACCATTCGTTAGAAAATTACATTGTATATATATGTCAAATTCTATGTTTAAAGGACATATATTTAAAGTTGGACACCCTTGAAAAAAGTTATGCCTTTGGCATTTGGCGCAGTGGTAACAGTGTCCATTTGATGAAGGAGTTCCAGGTTTGAACTCCAAATAATACAATAACTTTTTAATTTTATTTTGACAGCCACACATCATTATTCTTGGACACCCATGATAAAATTTCTGATTACATCACTGATCATAACTAATCTTTACTACAGGACCCACGCAGCCACTCCATATATACCGTGCTGCAAGTTCAAATGGGTGGCATTTTTTGATAAATATGGTGGAGTTGGCGATGGTTACATAAGAGAATAATGAAGAAATTGTATTGTATTTTTAAAAGGTCAATTTTCACTATTTAATTTGATTTTTTGCCACATTGTAATGCTGGCATTATATATACCTTGCCCATATTTTTTGAACCAACTACCACAAATAAATAGTACTATGATAGAAAGAAATTAATGAATCTTTCTATCGTATTATAAAAAACTTTCTATTTTATTGAATTCTTTGTATACACATGTTTTATCGATTTTTTGAACTAACTAATAAATAGTATGATAGAAAGAAATAAATGAATCTTTCTATAATACTATAAGAAAATTTCTATTTTATTGAATTTTTTGCCACGTACACACATATACTTTGTCCTATTTTAAACGTACAAATTAATAAAAAATATAATTGAAAGAAATAAACGAATCTTTCTGTAACATCCGGCAATGTGAAATAATTAAAGAGGCTTAGAATTGGAAATTTTCATTTTTGGAAAGAATTTTAAAG